GCATAGGAAGTGCCATTCTTGGTCATCTAGTAGATACAGGTCATCAAATTAGACCGGAATCGGCTTTCAGCGTAATCTATCGTGTGCCCCCCAACCCCTCCAAAGCAGTGCGCTTACATACACTAGCCACTGCTGAGGCGAAAGGCGTTCGCCTATTCGCACCAGAACTGTGTGCACAAAAGCGCTCCACTTACCCTGGCTCCAAATTGATCATCAACATCACCATCATCACCACCACTCCAATCACAATCAGTCTCCCCCGAACACACATAGAGCTTACCCCTTCCCTCTCCTCTCCTCATCACAAATGACCCTTTGACCCAGCGTGAAAATGTGTCCCCACTAACAACAAACCCTTATATGAATCCCACCGAGGCTACTGAACTTTTCACAATCGACATACAAACTTCAAATCGGCCAAACAACTATTTGAACAAAACCCTTATATGATCTGCACAGGCACGATTATGAATCATTCGAAAACAATTGTTCGCCTTCGGACTTATGTTCTGACAAATTCGTGTGATGAACAGTAGACGGGGAAAACCCCATAGCCACGAGGATTTGCTATTCAGTGATGAAAACCGACAACCTAAGCTCCCGGACTTGAAGTGGTTAACCGTATAAGATCCCGCTAGGTTAGACAAGTTATTGAACCGGACAGCAAAGCAGCCTACCACCAAACCGGGGGATCAAACCTTAGACTACAGGATCCAAAGCATGCCGGTGACAGTGACGTTACCAGTCAGTTACCACCATTATCCAAGTATGCCAACCATATTGTTTATTGAATCACTTTTTCAGCGACGGGTGTGTTTTAACTTTGGCAACCAAAAACAGAACTAATATAACAAGTCTATTGAAGGCGGTTACCTCAACGGTTTTTACTCACCATCCATGAACACGTTCCAAAATAAATGAGAATGTGCATACATACTGGATATTTGACCACTAAACAGAACGGTCCATCTACATCGGGTTAATGGGACACACCCATAGACAAAACTTCACATCCACATGGAGTAACATTGACCTTTTGGAATTGAGTTCCGGGGTCCAAGTAGCGCTTCATCAATCCTCAGTTTCATGGAACGTGATAAGCACATGTCAGTCTGTAGATGAAATTGTTCACTTCACACAATTTAGTGTCAACTTTCACCGGATTGACTGGTCACATGACCACATGAAAACCATGGTCGTCATGTGATTAATTGCTGGAAATAGGGTCTCACCTGGCTGCCGGTTTCAGCTATACATTTCTCCAGCCTGGTCATCTCACACGAAAAGATATCAAAGGATTTGACGATCCAATTGCTACAATTCAGTCTGAGTTAACTTTCTAATTTATGTACCCTTGCGATCGGTATGATTCATAAACCAAACCTAATTACTGCTTACCGATTTACCCAAAAGATACCACTTTTTCACCAAATCTAAACTGTTTAAGCGGTTGTGTGCAATATTCTGCGACGAACAGAAAACCACTACGAATCAGCCTGTGCTATCTCGTAACAGGAGAAGCGAATTAAAACTTGCCACACGTAGTAGAGACCAAATTTAAACCACTTCGATTTAGGACTACTTTAGAAGAACTGGGTGAACTCACACAGTGACTGTCATAAACCATTTTATAGGCAGATTGCCACATTGGTTTGTGCGGATTCATTCATCTACGTTTCTAACCAGTTAATTAACAAACTGTTCAGTGCAACACAAACTCTTTATTAGGAGTAGGACTCTTTGGGAGATCGATAAATCTATTGGAAACAGTTTTGGTTTTCCTCTCATCTTCAGTTCACTCCGTGTGGTTTTGTACTAAGCTGTTCTTGACCAATGCTCCCTTTTTATCTGAACGCATTAGTTTGAGTTGCAAACTCTACTGCTGCCAGCGGCGAGAGAAGCATCACGCCATAGAGAATGGTCCATGCATCGTGGACCTGAGAATCCACTACATTGGTTTTATCTCCCAGCTCCACGGCGAACCGAGACGAACACAGTGAAAACAAGGGACAAAAATAGTCAGTGGAGAAGAACGCATTTATAAACGAACGGATACAGGCAAAACATTGCCACTTCACAAGCACTAACAATGTCACCTCAGTTGGTGATGAATGGTTCGCAAACAGATTGCCAATGTCGGTAAACAAGCGAAATGGAACTAATGGGACTATTTGGGATTTCAATGTCTTTGCAGCGATGAAAAATAGCGGACTCAACACGAGATTCCAAGGTTCGTCTGTTTTTCACTGACTATTTGCACTGGTTGGAGGGTGGGACGAATACCTGTGATTAGCTTTGGCTCTGCCGTGCAGAGTATTCGGTTGCTTTATTGATCACAGCAATCGAAGCTAGCCGAACCGAAAATTGCGGAGGAATTTCACTGCAGACTTAACCCGAGCATACGGAATGGAGCATATGGAATACCTGTGCCAATCACTTCACACCGGATGACCGAAAAAATCAATTTCCAAATGTCGCATTCAGTGTTCATCGGTTGTTGGTCTGAAGACATGACGGGCAATCTATTAATTTCGTATAGAAGTCAGATACCAGATGGAAATATGAATGCGAACAACATATGAGGCGAAACTTCAGTTTCGTTCTACCGGGTTTATTGTGAACTGAATGAAGTGAAAAATATGCGTGAAGCTGGATTCCACTGAATCGTTCGTCGCAATCAAAAACAAACAAGGCACATTAGGGTGGACCAAAATCGAACTGGCAGTACAAAACACAGTAGACCTCGTACACATTTCACTGCGAGTTACCCGGTTACAACTACGAGTAAAGTTATTCCAGTATGGTCTCGTAATCTTCCTCAGATTGACTATGACAACATGAGTATTGGCTGAGAATGGATTAAGATTTACCCTTTACTGAGCTAATAAAAATTTCAGAAAAAAATCTGGAGGCTATTGCGAAATGTTTTACATTCTTTTGCGTATTTGCCAGTTGTAAGAATTCGTCGAGGAACAATGCTAAAACCTCACAAAAGAGAATGCACACACAGAGACTATAAACTTGCAGCTTCAGGGACAAATAAGTTCCGTTTTTTTTCATGCAATGCTTAGGGGTAAACAACTATTTCTATCATGCATAAGAAACTTGTCTGACTCACCCACGGTTCGTTTGGTTTGAAATTCTTCAAAAGACTAAAGCTCTTCTCAGGCGAGTCGGTTGCTACAATGGGAGAAAAACATGTCAACCTTGTTTTATATTTATCATAAGGATATTTCTGATGTAGTATCATTAGTATAAGGTTCGCTAATAACTTCTTGGAGTAGCCACGACGAGAATGGGAGAAAAGCATGCGCTTTTGGTCACGATTCCATGTATTTAAATGCGATGGAAATGTTTGTGACAACCGACAAAAGCAGTGGGTAGCTGTTTCGTCCTGTTTGGGACCCTCGTGCGGTGCGTACTTTTTGTGTCTCTGGTGCCAGCCCTGACAGAGACACAAAAATACGCACTTCTGACGAGTCCCGAACAGCACGAAACAGCTGTCCAGTGCTCTTTGTCGGTTATCGTAAACATTTCCACAGCATTCGAATAGTGCGGAATTAACGATCTCTCGTGGAGTGAAACGCACACCGAACATCATCAACAGGACCTGGTGACTGTGAAAACCGAATGGGCTAGTCTAAATATTCACCATCTAAAACGATTGCATGTGGTTTATGTGAATGCTCACTGATAACACATGTCATGGAGGCGACACCGTCCAAACGACACATTATGATCCTTCTAATTATTGCTTTAAAAATAGTCTTGTTTGCGGGAACAAGTCAAGTTTGCTTCAGTAAGAGGCGAGAAGCGCGAAGTCTTGTCATATGCTAAAAACCACTAGAGTACTTGAAGAGTACTTTTTATTATTCTGTGCAGCAGTTATGTGTAAGAAGCCAGTTTATGAACTCCAGTTTGGTGATCTAACTAACTGCACTTGTCCAGAACCTGTATTCATATTGTTGAACTTTCCGAGGATAAAAGCAACCGGGCAGTTTTATTCGGGACTTCCTTAATTGAAACAGTTGCCATCGCTATTCCCATTACCTTATGAAACTACTGAAAAACAAAAATGGAGCAGAGTCTTTGCCGTTCTTATCTCCTATGCGGGGGGAGGGGGAGCGTGTGAACCAACATACTCGGCGCGAAGTCGATCGTGGTCAAATAGCGTGGATCCGATGAACCACATTCGAGAAAATGTTTTGCTTGACTGTCCGTGGTGAATAGCACAATATCCGGTCCGAGATGTTTCCGTGCAATGTCGTACAGTTGTTCTAAATATTTCCTGTCACATGTGTAGTAAATGCCGTATTCGTTTTCCAGCTAAGATTCGACGTCACACATCAAAGGGGTCGAAAAAAGCGAGGTGAGAATATTAGAAGACAGAGTCCAGGATTCGCAACAGTGTAATACAATCCCATGTTTTAAGCTGTGAATGAAGGATACGATTAGCTAAATGACAGAACACGCATTACGGAGTCGTTCTAGGATTGATTACGTGATTCAAACAAATTATACTATAAACGTTAGGCTTATTTCCGGTTGCCGAATAATGAGTATGCATAACAACACGAAACATCTTTTATTTAAACGATTTCAGGGTAAATGATTGGGGGTATTCAGCGGTGCATTTTAGTAGCTTCATAGTTTTGACTAATACTGAGCAGAACAATCAGCGATTCTGTGTTTTTTCTCCATTTTTTTTGATGCGAAAATATTTAAAATGCATTAAATTTGTTATCTTCAATATCAATGAATAATGCGCAATCATTCTGTGTTTTTAGGATCCAAATGAACTGAGAGTAAAGGAGTTCTCTCTTTTTCAATATTGAACCACAGAACAGGTAAACCCCATAGTCACGAGGACCTGCTGTTCATTAACGGAACCCGGTAACCTAAGCACCGGAACTTGGAGTGGTGAACCACATAAGGCCCCGATAGGTTGGGTGTGGTAATAAACTTACTAATTACTGAACCTTAATTACCTCGTACGCAAATACCTAAAGATGCTTCGCTTTAATAGAAGTATCAAAGGAATATGTTTATCCCCGTCTTCTTCCCTATATACACCGCAATCTATAGTAAATATTTGCTGGTATTGCTCTCAACCAACGTTGATGGCCAACAATTTACTGTCATGGAGTAATTTTAGTTCTAAGATTTCGGTAGTATCGCAGCATTCATCACTCTGATTTTTTTCTCAAAATCCTATGATACAAATGTGTCCGTGTTATTCCTGAAGCAGCAATTTTTGCGATCACTTATGACTTTATTTTGAGCGACTAACTCCTGCCGGAGGATAAACCGGCTTCTGGGATGGCGGCCCTTGCATGACAGTCGGCAGCAAGGTTGCTGCAGTGTGAGACCCACTTCTGGTTCCAATTACGAATTCCATATACGGATCGGACGCCCAGTGATTTCAAGTCCACCTTGATCGTACTACTCCAGGTCTTCAGTTGACCACCGAGTTCGCAACGCTATCGACGTCACGGTGCAGGGCCTAAAGCCTGCTGCGAGAGTTGGGTGTCGGGCCTCGGAAGACGCTGGTGTTGTAGCATTTTCAACAGCTTGTCGATTTTCGAGTAGCGCCGAAAAACCTCACCACCAAATTTCGATCTCTCCCACATAGTTTACAGGTTTCACGTAAGCACCAATGATCAAGGACCTCGAGAAGTTTTGTATCTTGTACTCGTTGCGGCCATGTTTCACAGGCATTAGTGAGGATGAGACGGATGGAAGCCTGATAAACCCGAAACCTAGTGTGTGCGCTTATTTCGCATCAATTCCGTAACGGTCTGAGGAGTGGCAAGTAGGCTCTCCTAGCTTCATCCCCACGGCAATGAATTTCATCCTTAGCCTAGCTGGTCGGTTTGATTAAAGAGACAAGATACCTAAAAACTTAGTTACTTTAGCGAAGGTTCCCGATCAACAATTAATGGGATAATAAAACTTCGCCTTGTAAAGTGACGCTGCATCGAGTGTATACTTTTACGGAAGTGCTGCATTATATATTATCATTATATTATCATCAAGTGCTTCTTTCACACCGGAGTGTTGTTATAGTCTATGGATTAGTTTGTGATGATGAGACTATAACTAAATGGAATGGCTCTCAATCAATTGCACATTTCCCTGAAAAGCGAATGAACACAGTGAATGTTATTAGTTACCTAATGTGCCGACAGAGCGAATACGGGGATTGTAAAAACGGATAGAGTTCCTATATTGCTGGACAATATCTTCGTATTCAAGCTTAATACTCCAAATAGCTTGGTACCTTTGAGGTATCATTATCCTCGAGATGATCAGTTCAGGTCATCAATGAGTCAGGTTGATGGTCAGATGTGTAAACTTCGTCTCTTCGCATGTCACTCGCATCCTTCAAGCGATCCGAATAGAGTATTTTGTGCTTCTGAACAAACATTCATCATCATTCCCCACCAGTTTTTACAAATCCAAATGAAAATGACTAACGAGTCTCATAAGAAGATGTCCGATTGTCTTGGGGTTCCTCTCAATCCACTTACAATCACTCACGTTATCTTGTAACAGTTTGTCAAATTTCACATTGGTTCTTCTATTTTAAGCCGAAATTCAAATTGTCTTGAAGAAAAAACTTCTAACAAAAATACACAAATCCGTTTCACATCGTTTAGCATCACGCACAGTTTACGAACAAGTCACGAAACACTCTGTGGAACTTACCTGGACCATGATGATGGGACCACCCTCGGTGTACAGGAAGCGTTTCATCTTCGGAAGGATAATGCCCATCCATCGATCAACTTCATTCATATAATCTGCCGAATTTGTGGAAATCAAATTTGTGCGGAATAAGAATATAACTCCTCCGTGCTGACAAGCTTGTTTATATTGCACATCAAGTTTATTTTGCACAGCACACATCAAGTTCAAAAACCTACCAGGAGCCGAAGAACGAATTTTCATATTGCGATTTTTACGCATGAGCCAAACGGGTAGTCCACCCTAGGTAAGAGAGCAAACAACGGAGAAAAAACGTTTTACTCTTTTAAAGTCTGCTTCTCGACAGTAAAATAAAAAAAAACTGACGGAAAGTGACATGTATATGTATCGCACAAGGGTTCTATTTGTTTTATTCGCTTCGTTTCGACAACTATGACATCCTGGATTCTTTGATTTCCAACGAAACTGATCAACCTCCACTGCGAGACGAAATCATTCCCCTATCCAGTAACACATTCTGGGTGCATAAACGGCAAAAATTAATGGGAAAATTGCGAAAGATAATCAAAACAAACGGGGTTTTGAAACATCCCGGGTCATGAAAATGGTCGTGTTATATTAAATACCATTGCACTGCTTCTGTAGTCCATAACTGAAATCCCTCCTAATCAACTGGTCCTGGGTTTTATCTTTCACACAGAATTGATTCAGAAATCTCTAACACCCTCAGCGTTCTCCAACTTTTCGTTCGAAAACAGTTCACACTACCTCTTCGCGTTATATATTCGTGACGTTATAAGACATAATTGATTTAAGGACAGATGAGTGAGGGCAACGACTATATATATATATATATATATATATATATATGTACAAAGGTAGCATTATGGATGGTGTCTCCGGGTGTTCATCCGAATCGCCATTTTCTTATAATTCTTGCTTATCATATCATATCATTTCATAAGCCACCTACCACGTCCTGCCTTGGTAAGCATCTCTGTGGTGGTGTTGGTGTTGGTGGTGATGATGATGGTGGTGGTGGTGGTGGTGGTGGGGACATTTCTCAGCAGATTGCTTCCATCACCACCATACATTAATCAGTTCTCGGAACTATGTTCTGTATGCGCTTTGAAACCGCGCTGAACATGGAGTGAACTTTTATCAGCGCTGCGGCTAACCTTATTTCAATAATTTATGTTTAAATAGATCACAGTATAATGTGACAAAGATGAAAAATGGAGAACGGAAAGATATTCATACCACTACTCGATTAGGATAAACGTGTTTTTATGATCGAATAGTCCTCGGCTGAAAATCGATCTACCTGACCCAAGGCACCTGGTTGACTGAACTAGGACTTCATCCGTCCACCTGGTTTAGTCACCATGATCTAAGGAACTGGAGGTGAATGACTAAACTTCTTTATGGCCCAGAGGCAAAACATCCGATAAAGATAATATAATCTTACCAAACTCCGGTGCATCACCACAGTTCTTGGTAGGTTTTCAGGATGATCTATCTAATAATTATAGCGAGTCCTTCCGTATCTGCAAATGGTTCGCAAATGAGCTATCAAAAGCAAACAGTTGGTTCGATAAAATCTGTTACCTTAGAGTAGACTTCTAGTATATGCTTTATGCAAAAGAGAAGAGTTGAGAAAATTATCATTCCTATCGAATCCGAATAGGTTCACCCTGATTGTCGGTCGGAAGATTTCCGACCATATAATTATTGCCAATTTGTTTTATCCCACGCAAGAAATCAGTAATGACTTGGATGTTTGTTGAAATTAGCCAAAAAGCGATAAACAATAGTCGTTTGTTGGGCAAAAAATTCATTGAACCAACAGCAATCTGCCGCTCTCTGGTCCACTCACATTATCCCATTCGGCACAAATATATGGACCGACCCGAAGAATCACCAGTAAATCGTATTTGGCTGCCAGGTCCATGAAGGCTTCCACGTCCGCCATACCATCGAAATTGTACACCCCTTCTTCCGGTTCGTGCAAGTTCCACGGCACGTAGCTAAAGTGAAAAAATTTTGGGGTTTATTGCACTCAGACATTGCTCATAAGGGCAATAGAGGATTGATTTTTTACGGTAAAGTTCAATGTGTATGGATCAAACAAAGTGTGAAATGAAAAGCGAGAAAGCACTGTTTCCATCTGGTTTGGTCTGATCAGCAGAGCAAATTAATCGATGCAGTGCGCCCGTGCATTTCATTTCCTGCTTCGTTTGCACTGAGGAGGATGAATTTCTCCGCAAACGCATTGTACTGTGAATAGCACTGGCTTAACCGGGCACTACTGGTTTACATCACGCTGCTGTCGGGTGAGGCGCAGTCTCTATCCTTCATCTTCCGTGAATATGGTGATTTTAAACATCTATTGTCATCAGCGAGATAGCAGTGCACCTACAACGCGCAGAGGATTTTATATATATACATATATATATCAGTCCTGATTCGATAACCTAAAATCGTTTCGAAATTCGTGCATACACTGTTTTATTAATTGACCATTTAAAAAATCTTATTGACTAGGTGAATGAAATTATGGACCCTTGAAATTAACGAACCCCGGCCGAAACATTAAATTGAAGAAACCAAAGTCTTTTAAATGTGTCCCGGCCTTACCATCCTTGTAGTACTCACATTGAAATTGCGTCCAAACCGGCCGCTTTCGCTTTGTTCAATCGATCATGCCAGTACTCGCGAGGAATTCGAAAATAATGCATACTACCCGATATGTACTGGAATGGCTCACCGTCTTTCAAGAACACCCTTTGGGTTGAATCGACCACGAATGATCTATTTCGAGGAGCCTCTGTCCCAGACATGGCAAGGACCATTGACAGTTGCGTCAGGATTAATACGACAACTAAGTTGCACCACCTGGGGAGTGGACGTTTCATTTTTGAGCTTGAAAACACCATTGTTTTGAATTCTGACTAGAGAAAGCTGAAATAGGAATGGATGCCTTTGGTTGAAAAGCAATTGAATATACAAACAAGAAAAGCTGGAAATTATAAACATCGAGGATCGGTTTTAGCTCCGTTGGAGTTATTACCATCTAAATCGCGAAAATGAGGTCATCTCAATGAAAGCTACCATTCCAAAATGAAACGAGCTCAAAATAAATCTACTGGTAAAAATAATGGTGATAATTCAAATACACACAAACACAATAGGCATGTGACTTCTGAAAATTCTTCCGAATAATTCTGATTTTTCATTTGCTCCGGTCGAAGTTCATGATCTACCAACGCCATAAATTATTTTCAACGTGAAAGAAATTAGGACAAAGCCTCCCCGTACATTGTTCAGTTTTGCCCCATGCCCAAATATCTACATATATGCTTTTTGAGAGTATTGTCCGAAAGATAACACCACAGAAGAGTGCCCGATACATATCCCGGATGGACCGTTTGACTGGTTAAAAGTATTTTGTTTCACTTAAAAGAAAGTGTTATCAAGTGATCTAATCTATGTTGATTCCTGTCAGAACGTTCAGGTATTTTATTGATCGTTGAGGATCCCAAACGCAACTCAGTTTGTATGCACAAGTGCTCAACACACATAAGCGATTCAAAAACACAGGCGACCAAATAAAATTTGATATCAAATCACACCTGCTGGCATTGCCTATCTTTCTGACGGAAGCGTGGCGGACAGAGCAGGTATGGTTCTCCTTCAAACGTTCATCCTAGTGCTCTGCACTCAGAGCGCTGGCTACAAGCCTTGTGTGCATTAAACCGCTGGAGGTTATGAAAATAATGTGGAACGGTTGTATCTCGGGATGAGATGTTGGTGGTGATATGTTCTCAGAGCTGGGAGTGTTGTTCGCAGACGTTTCGTTGCCAGGCTAGGCAACATCATCAGTGGCTTCCCCGAAGGTGCACTGATGATGTTGCCTAGCCTGGCTACGAAAAGTCTGCGAACAACACTCCCAGCTCTGAGAATACCACCAACAACGTTCGAGGTTATTTTCGCCCCAACGCCCCCCTCGTCTAACAGACTCATCCATCCCTAAATTAATGAATTCAGTTTCCACTTCTTTCTCGTTTTTTGTTGAGTTCAATTAGTTTTATCTTATTTACTCTACTGTGACACACAGGATCCCGATTTTTGCATTACACCTCACCCTTGTTTGGTGCACAGAGCTGAAGTGTTGATCACAAATCCGCCTTCATCCCGGAAACTGTCTGTTACGCTTTATAATATAAAGCTGAGATTCTCATACCAGAAACTGTCCAAAGAAGATGTGAGCGAAATGTTCGAGTGCGGAAAACGAGAATCTCGGTTTCAATTGTTTCGCGGAACTTCTGTCTTATAAAAATTTCGTACGCGATCCAAGATGTAGAAGACATCTGGTGTTACGTGAGGAAAGTACTCTCCCCGCACATACTTGCTCACTGTTGTGAACCTTCGAAAAAATTCCGTTCTCCACCAGTTTACGTCCTGTTGAATGCATTGTGTTGTTACCCGCAAGTTTCTATAGCCACACGAATTTGCCGAGGTACTCCATACTCGCAAGTGTATCGTTCCATAACGTTTCTGTCCCAAATTTAGTGAAACCGAATACAGCTTAAAGGGTCAAAAGTTCATTCGTTGTACGAAAATTGGGCTTATTTACATGGTGGGGGGAGAAATTGGCTGGCTGGATTGTTGTTAACTGTCCTGATTGGCTTTTGGTTCCAACCAGCCTTATGAGCTGGGTTACACTTGTTCTGATTGACTGTCCTGGAACAAAGCGGCTTTAAAGGAGTAGGCCGGCTCCATGACAGCCCCTCGGGCCACGCATTGATCCGCGTCACACCACAAATGCGTTCGTGACTCCCAAAGGCGAATCGATTCCGGATTTGATGATGATCATACACCTGTAGTCCGATCGATCAGTCAGTGTCAAAGATGCTATCTGATTAGTGCATCACCAAGTCGTTTCTCGCACGCCTAATTTACCGCTTATATTTGCGTATCGCGTCATAATCAATAATATACCCTGACTGTGGTTTCTCTAGTCGTGTTCTTCTTCCATATCATTATTGGGGGCTAGTCAAAAGGCGTATCGATCATACATGTACGTTGAATACAGCATACTGTAAAAACCATAAAACCGTACAGACCAGAAAGTTCGAGAATATCACTGATGGATCAATTTCCCCTTTTCCCGTACGACGTAGATGAATAGTGTAATTGCGGTAGAATGGAAAAGGACAGAGCTACAAGGGTCACAAGAAAAAATGTGATCAAAGAACCTTGAACCTCAACCATGACATATCTTGTACTATCATTGGGCATCGTTTTTGTTCCTCTAATACCTACTCCGAGTTCATTAACCTAACACTTACTTGACGTGTGGGATTATTGACGAGAATTGCTGACTCGAGTTCCAGTGGTAATCGAGGAGCCACTGCTGTCGTTTCTGACAGAACGGCTGTCGATTCCCGTGCGCGCTAAATTATCTTAGTACCCACGTCACAATAGTAGCCATCCAAGAGTGTTACATAGCTATTTGTTTCTTGTTGCGACGCGTGAGTAGCTACCCGGAGTTAAACTCCAGAGAGGTCCTTGGCGTAAAGTATACCGTCGTTGTCCGTCAAATTAACTGCAGGGTATATGAAGCAAATTAAAAATCATTTTGAAAAATTGTTTTTTTTTCTGTCAAAGTAATTGACCCAAGCAACATTCATAAACTATGCAGAGTTTCAGTGCTTGGCTCGTTCCATTGAATGGATATCTCATAGGGAAGAGCACAACCCTTTAGTTGTGTGGCAGGAATTTACTGACAGTCTGCAACAACTACTAGCCTCAGTTACGCAGGTAAATATTGTTCCCAAACCCATCAGCCAAAATCACCTATTCGAAGCCGTAGAAAGAAAAGGATACTTCTGAGGGACCTCTACTGGAGAAAGTACCAACGATTTCCGAATACATGCACCTGGAACAATTACCGACTGCTGAGAAACCACTGCACCAAATTGGTGCGCGAAGATAAAATAAACCATCAAGAATCTCTAACAGAAATTTATTTCGAACCCCAAGCTTTTGTACATGTTAACTCAGCTCGAAAAGTTAAACATGGAATACAGATGCTCGGTTATTCTGGAAGAGCCACAGCCAATACAAAGTAAGCCCCTGAAATGCTGAAGAACCAGTATGCCCACGTTATTGCGACGCCAAATGACGAAGGTATGTGCCTTCCTTGCTGAATTTATCATATTCCACATTGTTCACTAACCACCGTATCATTCACTACCGAAAACTTTAAAGAAAAGCTATTGGCTTTAAGGAAGAATTCATCGCCAGGTACAAAAAATAACCACCCTCAAACCCTTATCTGCTTGGTGAATCGAATATCTGAGCCACTAACCTTCCTTTTCCAGAGGATGTTCGATCACACTGCAATCTCACAGTCGTGGAAACCGAGAGTAATTTCACCCATTTACAAAGGTGGTTCCCGTAGTGATCCCGCTAACTACCGCCCTGTAACCCTCCTTCCAGTGTTGTCCAAAGTCATGGAGTCCATAGTAGCAGATTCGCTGATGGAACACCTAGAGAAGCACAATGTTTTGTCACCAAATCAATATGGATTCCGACAGAAGCGATCCTGCGCCAGCAATTCGCTGATCGCACGAGGATAATGGACAAAAGTAGTTTATTACGGCGAGGCGGTACACTTTATATATCTGGACTTCTCAAAAGCTTTCGATCGGGTGAACCACTAGATTCTACCACGGAAATTCTATAATTATGGCATTCACGGCTCCACGCTTGATTGAATCGAAGCAATTCTCTGACATCGGATCGTATCGGTTCGTCTTTCTAATTTGCTTTCCAGTCTTATGGAGGTTACCCTCCGGGTTCCACAAGGTTCTATGCCCGGCCCGCTACTTTTCTTAACGTTCTTAGTCTAACTACCGAAGGCTCTGTGGCCAAAATCAATACTATCTGCAGATGGCGCCAAAATTTGGAATACAGTAACGCAACCAGCGGGCTCGCTGGCATTCCAGGAATCGCCGAAAGCAGATCATCTCTGATCTCCTTTGAACAATATTGAATTCAATATGTCAAAGTGTAAGGTTTTATCTTTACGACATAAGGGGCGATTTTCGTTTTTCCTTGGAAATGAACAACTACCAAACGCCTCAATTGAGAAGGACCTGGGCACCATCATACAAGAAAACTAAACTGCTCACTCAATTGCGCCAGGGTGTCGAACGTATCTGTAAGGAAAGTAGGTTCGCTTAGGCGTGTCTTTTATCGGTTTGAGTCAGCACTTTTCCTCCGTCAGCTATCAGCATACATTCGCTCATTCAAAGAGTACGCCATCCAGGCGTGGAATCCATGGCTGCAAAATTCCGGAGAGTTCACAAAGGATGGCCACCAAAGTGGTTAGGGGGTTGAATAGTTGTTCATATGCAACGAGATTGAAGTCGCTGGGGTTATATTCCAATCACTACCGGCGCATCAGAGGAGATAGAATTATGGTGTACCAATAATGAAAAACCCAAGCCATCTGTGTTGCCCGCTGCTAAAGTTATTACTCAACGTTCATCTTAAAGGACATTCATTCAAACTAGTGGTCTTAAAATGCCGACGGGAATGTCGGCGTCAGTCATTCGCAGAGTGTGTTTGATCTGAAACTCTCTCTCTCACCCCATTTCGTCTGTGCGCCAAGCACTGAGTCTTTCAAGCTGAGACTTGATGAAGCATTAGCTCACCTTATATTTCAACAAAAAGAATCTGCGTGCAGTATTGGAAGAAGTACGCACTGTGACATTTTACACAAGAAATTGTATATATCACTGTCTTTTAGTCACAACACGAACCTATGGGAAAAGAAAAGCATGAGCTTGTAAATTATTCCCATAATAAAACTTTGATTGAATCATATGTCATTGAATGAGGAGAA